CCCATATTTGCTAAATCACACCCTAAGAATGGGGGGTTTTAGCCACACATCAAGAAATAAGAAATTATACCTAACATGATAATGAAATCAACTGGGTATAAGAAATTAAACCTTTAATTAAGCAAAGGAAAGTGAATACAAAAGACCCACTTCCAACTTGAGGAAGAAGAACTCCTTTCTTCAAGTCTCCACAAATCCCTCTCCAAACTTGAGAGAAACATATTAGCTAGAATATGTTCTAAAGTGAAAAATAATAATAATATGTTCCACTCCTCTCCAATCTTCCCAAAATCTAATTCTAAAGAGTATTTATAGTTTTCACAGATTATGCTGCGGAGGATTATTTGGCGACATTAGTCGAGATCGCCGATGAACTCGGTGATCCGCCTTTTGGTCAGCTCATCGCCTTTAGCATCCTCGCATTCTAGATCATTGGGCGGTACAGTACTTCTTCGCGGAACTGATCAGCGACCCGCCGACTGCTCCTTTCTTCACGTTTCGATCCACTTCCTTCAAGGCTTCGGGAACTGGAACGAAGGACGGCTCATGTCATTTCGGTGACTCACCAAGTTAAACTCGGCGATTCGCAGGATTCCTTTTCTTGTTCTTTTCATCCCTATTTCCTCCGTTTTGGGCCTAAGTGTCCATGCTTCCACTAAAACTTCAAATACCTAAAACTTCAGCATTTTAATCAGGTATTGAGGTAAAACAAGCATTCAAGGACACTATTTCCATTAAAATAAAGCCCTAAATGAGTCCAATTTGTGGACTGATCAATGGGAAGTTCACTGGTCTGTCGCTTGAGGATCCAACAGTTCACATCCAAAACTTCCTCGAGATCAATGATACTTACACTCCAACGGGAGTAAACGATGATTATGTGAGGCTCACCTTATTTCCCTTTTCTCTACTTGGGGAAGCAAAAAGATGGCTGAATTTTGAGCCCGCTAACTCTATCACCACTTGGGATGATCTTGTACAAAAGTTCCTCATCAAATTTTTTCCATTTGGGAAAACAGCTAAGTTGAGGAGTGACATCTTAAGTTTTAGACAGAAAGGAGGAGAGAACTTGTACCAAGCTTGGGACAGGTTTTAATCGATGTTGATGAGCTGCCCACATCATTATTAATATAATGAGGTGTTGGTCCATACCTTCATTGAAGGATTGGAGCCTAACACTAAAAATTTTCTTGATTCAGCTGCAGGTGGTCAGGCTTTGCAGATGACATATGTTGAGCTATTCACCTTGCTGAACAAGATCTCACAGGGTAACCCCTAATGGAATGGAGGAGGGCTGAAACCTGTGTTACAAAAAACTACAGGTATGCTGGAAGTAGATGCAGTGACTGCTTTAACTGCACAGATTGCTGCGATGTAAAACATGATGAACACACACTTCAGCAATCTAGAATTGGGACAACAGCCTGCTCAGGTGAATGCAGTCCAACAACCACCAACTTGGTGTGAAATATGCAGAGGTGGTGATCATAGTGCAGAGGTATGAGGTGCAAACCCAGATTCTGTGAATTTTGTGGGTAATGTACAACGAGTAGGCCAGCAGAACTATGGAAAATCATACAATCCAAGATGGAGCAACCATACAAATTTTTCTTGGGTGGTAATCAAAATCAGGCTCAAGGCCAAAATCAATATAGACCCCAAGGAAATGCGCAAGGGTACCCACCACAGGTCCAACGGAAGCCGCCAATTAGGCAGTCTAGTAACATGAGCATGGAGGAGATGCTGAAAAAAATTATGGTTGATCAAGCCATGTTAGTTGTTGATGCAAGAAACAACCAGTTAGCTATACAGAATCTGGAGAAACAATTCGGGCAGTTTTCGAGTGCCCAAAACTCACGGCCGCAAGGAGGTTTGCCGGGAAACACTGATCTGAATCCCAAGCAGGTAAATGAGGTAGGTACACACAGTGGTTTGTAGTTATAGGAGTTAGCTTCTACGAAAAGAAACATTGATGGTGTGAGTAATAGAGTGAATCCAAAGAGAATGAGGTTGTTGCACAACAAGAAAGAGTGCAACCAATAGTGAAACCACCTCCTCCATTCCCTCAAAAGTTCAAGAAGCAGAAGGAGGATGAATGTTTTGGTAAGTTTCTCTCTCTTTTGAAACAAGTTCATATTAACTTGCCATTGGTAGATGTTTTACAGGGTATACCCAGGTATGCTAAATATGTGAAGGAGATTGTGGCGAACAAAAGGAGGCTAACTGAATATGAGACTGTTGCACTTACTGAAGAGTTTCAGCTCCAGAATCCAAAATAAGTTATCCACTAAACTGAAAGATTCGGGTAGCTTTATGGTTCAGATCACTATAGGGCAGAGCATTCATATGTGTGGATTGTGTGATCTAGGAGCTAGTATCAATTTGATGCCAACTTCATTGTATAAAAAGCTGGGGTTGGGTAGTCCTAAACTTACTACCATCATCTTACAATTGACTGATAGATCTGTTGCTAGGTCTGAGGGTGTTGTAGAGGATGTGTTAGTACATGTGAATCGTCGATATTCCAGTAGACTTTGTTGTGCTGAATTTCGAGCCAGATCCTGAGGTCCCCTTCAACTTAGGAAAACCTATATTGGCTACTAGGCGGGCTATGATAGATGTAGCAGCTGGGCAACTCACTATGCGGGCACATGATAAAGTGGAGGTGTTCGACGTGTACAAGGCATTAAAGCTACCAGCTGTTTATGAGGAGTTGTTTGCTATAACTGTGATAGATCTTGAGGCAGAGGCTCGATACATTACATCTAAGGACCCTTTAGAGGGAGTGCTAGTAGGGGATGATATCTATGGGGATGCTAAGGCATAGGAAATGGTGCAATTTCTTGATTTGGCACTTGTACGTATATCCAGAGATAGTTGGGAGCCTTTAAATAGGGTGTTGGGTCCTCCACCTAAACCCTTAATTGAAGTAGCACCCCAGCTAGAGTTAAAAGCATTGCCAGCCCACCTCAGGTATGCATATTTGGGTGAAGATAAAACTTTACCGATTATTTTGTCTGCAGCATTGTCTGATGCACAGGTGGAAGCAACATTAATCATCTTGAAGAAGAGAAAGGCAGCATTGGGTTGGAAAATGTCCGACATCCATGGAATTAGTCCCGCGTTGTGCATGCATAAAATCTATATGGATGAAGGGCATAAGTCGAGTGCACAACATCAGCAGAGACTAAATCCAATGATGAAGGATGTGGTGAGAAAAGAGGTAATCAAATGGTTAGATGCAGGGATCGTTTACCCCATATCAGATAGTAAATGGGTGAGTCCAGTACAGTGTGTGCCCAAGAAAGGCGGAATAACGGTGGTAACTAATGAAAAGAATGAGTTGATCCCCACAAAAACAGTGATTGGATGGCGTATGAAAGTTGAATGATGCCACCAGAAAGGACCATTACCAGATGCCTTTTATTGATCAGATATTGGATAGATTGGCGGGGCAGGAATACTACTGCTTCTTGGATGGCTACTCAGGGTATAATCAGATTGTTATTGTACAAGAGGACGAGGAGAAGACTACCTTCACTTGTCTGTATGGCACGTATGCGTTCAAGCGCATGCCATTCGGCTTATGCAATGCACCGGTGACATTTCAGAGATGCATGATGGCAATCTTCCATGATATGGTGAAGGATTTTATTGAAGTGTTCATGGACGATTTTTTGGTGTTTGGTGAGTCTTTTGAACTCTGTTTTACTAACCTTGACAAGGTTCTTGCCAGGTGTGAAGAAACAACCCTTCTGTTGAACTGGGAGAAGTGTCACTTCTTAGTTCGAGAGGGGATTGTGTTAGGACACAAAATCTCTGAAAATGGGCTGGAAGTTGACAAAGCTAAAGTGGAGGTTATTAAGAAGTTACCACCCCCATCACAGTAAAGGGAGTTAGAAGCTTTCTAGGCCATGTTGGGTTCTATAGGAGGTTCATCAAGGACTTCTCTAAGATTGCAAGACCCATGTTCAACCTGTTAGAGAAAGAGATGAAGTTTGTCTTTGATGAGAAGTGTTTACAGGCATTTGAGTTGTTAAAGAAGAAGTTGATAGAAGCTCCTATTCTAATTTCTCCAAACTAGCAGCTTCCATTCGAGCTGAAGTGCGATGCCAGTGATATAAAGGTTGGGGAAGTGCTTGGGCAGCGAAAGATAAGATGTTTCATTCCATCTACTATGCTAGCAAGAAACTTGATACAGCTTAATCGAATTATACTATTACTGAAAAAGAGATGTTGGCATTAGTGTTTGTATTTGATAAGTTCAGATCATACTTGGTGGGAACCAAAGTTGTTGTTTACATTGATCATGCTGCAATCCGGTATTTGTTTAATAAGAAGGATGCCAAGCCAAGGTTGATTAGGTGGATTCTGCTATTACAAAAGTTTGATCTAGAGATAACATATAAGAAGGGAACTGAGAATCATATAGCTGATCATCTATCCAGATTGGAGGATTCATCTCATGTGAAGAATGAGGGGCAGATTCGCGAAGAGTTTCCTTATGAGCAATTGCTTGCTTTGGACCTTTCTCAAGTGCATTGGTATGCTGATATTGTTAATTTTCTGGTGAGTGGTTTATTTCCACCTGGGGCCTCAACACATCACAAGCAAAGGTGGAAATATGATGCACGCTTCTATATATGGGATGAACTTTTTTTATTCAAGTAGGAACCTAATCAGATGGTGCGAAGGTGTGTAGCTGAACAGGAGGCGTCACAAGTGTTGGAGAGTTGTCACTCTTCACCATATGGTGGACATCATGGGGGTGAACGAACTACACATAAGGTATTGCAATCTGGCTTCTTTTGGCCTACTCTTTTTAAAGATGATGCTATGTTTGTGAAGGGTTGTGATCGGTGTCAAAGGATGGGCACCATTTCTAGAAGGCATGAGATGCCATTGAGCAACATACTGGAGGTTGAGATCTTTGATGTCTGGGGATAGACTTCATGGGACCATTCCCGTCATCCCGTGGTAATCAATACATCTTAATGGCAATGGATTACGTGTCCAAGTGGGTGGAGGTTGTTGCATTACCATCTAATAATGCAAAGGTGGTCGTGAAATTCATCCGGAAGCACATCTTCACCAGGTTTGGAACTCCAAGGGCTATGATCAGTGATGGAGGTACGCACTTTATTAATAGTTCAGTGCGTAATTTGTTAGCTAAATATGGGGTAGGACACAAGGTAGCTATAGCGTATCATCCCTAGACTAGTGGGCAGGTAGAAGTGTCTAACAAAGAAGTCAAGCAGATCCTCCAAAAGACTGTGAATGCTCAAAGGAAAGATTGGGCTGACAAGTTTGATGATGCCTTGTGGGCATACCGGACTGTATACAAAACACCGATAGAGACTTCTCCTTATCGAATGGTGTTTGGAAAAGCGTGTCAACTACCAGCTAATTTGGAGCACAAGGCATATTGGGCGATAAAAAAGTTGAATCTGGATGCTGAGTTAGCCGGAAGGAAGAGAATAACGCAGCTGCATGAGTTAGAAGAGTTCAGGCTTTATGCCTACAAGAATGCTAAGTTGTACAAACCGAAGACCAAGAGGTGGCATGATAAGCATATTGTGTCACGCACCTTTGAGCCTGGTCAATTAGTGTTCTTGTTTAACTCAAAGTTGAAGTTGTTTCCCAGAAAGCTTCGATCTAAGTGGAGTGATCCGTTTGAAGTGGTGAGGATGACTCAACATGGTGCGGTGGGGTTAAAGAACAAGGACAAGAGCTTTACTTTCCTTGTGAATGGGCAACGGGTCAAGCACTATTTTGGAAATGATGTTGATTGTGAGCTTCAAGTGCTCACACTAAATGATGAATGACTCATGAGATGGGTCGTGTCGCGACTTTAAATTAGGCGCTACACGGGAGGCAACCCGTGAAACCTTGTAATAGTTAGGATTTCTTTGCTTGTATTTTGTTATTTCAATTCATAGGAATTAGTAAACAACAACAAAAAAATATGATAATATTCATAATAGTACAAAAATATGAGTCGTGCCACGACCAAAACTAAGGCGCTGGATGAGACGCAACCCATCGTGTTTTTTTCTACTGAGTTGTGTGCTGAAAATGTGCAGGAATCAGGTTTGAAGACCTGTTCCGCGTCGCGGAGCTGGGAGAAAATTTTGCCTCACCTGGATTTAATTTTCCAGAATGAGGCAGAGGGGTCCGTGTACTTGGTGCGTCGCATGGGAAGCTCGAAATTGATTTGACAGTAAGTTACTTCTATGTCAAAAAGAAGGCAGCTCCGTGATGGAGCCGCGTAGTGGAGCATGGGCCAAATTTTTGCCTCGCCTGGAATTAATTTTCTAGGTCGAGGCAGAGGACTCCGTGTAGGCACTGCGTCGCGCCCCAGGTGAGCAGATTTTGATTTTCATTAATTAAACGGGTTTTTACCCATGTTCTTTGAAAATAACCCGACCCAGTCCCTTTTAACCCCCAAATTCATTCTAAATTCCCCATTACTTCACCCATCAAAACCCCAATTTTTTCCCCTCTCTTCCCTTGTGATTTTCCAGCGTAAATCTGTAACGCGGAGGAGCAATGTAGCATTCCACGTTCTCAATAATACACATATATGACAAGTCAATAGTCCTCTTATGGAACCCATACCCAAACTGTTAGTGTGCCGGATCGTGACACCTGATCCAAGTTAGTGTGTCGGAACGTGACACCTGTTCTAATATGTATGTCGGTACGTGACATTCGATCCCAGTTAGTGTGTTGGAACATAACACCCGATCCATTCAACAAGCCACAATCATAATCACAATGTACATTCTCATAATCATACAATCAAGTGTTGATTCAAGGCATACAATCATTCATTCTTACTCATTTGCATTAGATGTGATCAATAGTGCAACATTCGCATACATACATGCATTACAATGAAGCAAATACTAACATATATCACACAAACGTGAAATCAACCATCACCTACCTCGAAACCAAGCTTGAAACCTCCTAAGATACTTGAATCTTCCCTTTCTGGATTCTCTCCACTTGTTCTAGGTCTACAAACAATTAATATACGCAAGGATCAACAATTAAAGGTATAATTATCCGGATTACAATCGAAATTATCAACCTTAGGCCAATCCCAAGATCCCAATACCCAACTTAGGGCTTTTTCCACCATTGGGTTTTTGGTCAAAACTCTCCCCCATTGATAATCACCCATAATTCTAAGTTCTACGGATCGAAAAACGTATTAGGGAGTAGAATCCTTACCTTTAGAACCAAAAGTCATGGAAAACTGTCAAGAAATCGCTTGGGGTTGTATCCTAGCTCTTATGAACGAAGTTTGCAGAATAATGACGTTTTTAGAGTTTATTTCTGACTTAAGTCGCGATTGGCCTGCTATGGTGGCCCCATCCCGCCATAGCGGCCCCTCTCTCGCGGTTTACACGGAAACCGAGAGTCAAAAGTTGAGTTTCAAACCCCCATTTCACAATACACCTTCAACCCATGACACTCAGAAACTATCCGTTCATGGTTAAGATCAGTTTCGGGAGTTCTACTCGCCTGAATTTGATTTCGTAAAGTCATATCGGTTTCTTAACGTCTTAGATATCTAGTCGTGTAATCAAATTCATAATTAGATCTCTCATTCATTACCAGATCTCCCTAGATCTCATTTACTCCGATTTCATCCAAATCTAGACTAGGCTAGGAATTCTCAAGTTACTACCAAAAAGTTTTCCGACCTAAAAATTTTCCCCTATCCGTCGGGGCATCAGTGCCTGGAGTAGTCTTAGATGGAACAACAGTGTTATATCCACTAGGAACTGTTGTGGACGTCTCAGCTGACATTATCTGAGTTGCCGACCGCACAACCATCTCTACAAGATTCAGCAAATCTCTGAATATGTTATCCTCTTGGCTTTCACCCACTCCCTCATCGTGCAATGCTATCTGCTCCTCGTCGGTCTCTGTCTTTGATTCTGCATGTGCTGCATCATCCCTCTGCATACCTCCGGTAGTAGCCGGAGGAATCCCCGAAGTCTCCGGAGCATCCCTGTCATCTGCTCTCTGTATCAGTGTAGTGAAGTCGGTAACCTTCAAATAGGCTACGCCCTTCTTCAACTCTGCTATTTCAGCTTTTAATGCAGAAACCTCAAGTGTCTCCCCCTGTCTGCTCTCACAAGCAGTGACTCTGGCAGTTAGATCATCAACAGTGGTCCTAAGGGGGGCCAGTGCAGTCAAGATGGCACTATCAATCATCCTTGGGATGGATCTCTCCAATCGCATTGCCCTCACATCCGCTGAATAGGCCAGCTTCCCCATCCTCAGGATCATGGCATGAGTGATCCTGGTGGGCTGGGAGGATGAGGATGTACCTGGAGTCTGTGAAGGAGAAAAAGGAGCGGGTATACCTGAAGGCTCTGAAGATGGAGTAGACGAGGGTGCCTCTGCTGGTAATGAGTCAATATCGATCTCTAGAGAAGTATCTGCTGGAGCTGCTCTTCTCCTATCAACCTCCTCTCATGTGAACTCGGCCTCTATATGCCGGATATCGGTGGAGGACGACGGGGTGACCTTCATATCGCTAGCAGGATCCCAGGGTACTCCGACACGCTGGCATAGCTCGGTGATCAGAATAGGAAAAGACAGGGACTTCTGCGTCTGTTTGGCTCTCATAGCCATCTCCTGCGAAACTAGCAGTCCCAAGTTGATCCGCCTCCTAGCCATGATAGACCCAAGGCAAGCCACCTTAGGATGACAGAGAATGGATTCGTTCTGGGATGGCATAATAGTGTTGTTGATGAAACCGAACCAGTACCGAGAGGCAATGTTCATATCCTTCTTCTCAATCGGAGCTCCTGCCTCCATCCACCTCGGGGTGGTGTTAGAGATCATCGGAGCTAACCAACCCTTCAAATCATCCAGGAATGGAACAATAGGCAAACCCTGGTATGGCATTACCGAGTGTAGCAGTTGACCCAATACAACATTAATATGATCGCTGTAACACTCCACCTCCTTGGCTCTAACCATAACCGACTTCACCGGTCAGAACTCACTAGCCTTCTTTTTATTCTTTGGGACCAGCTCTCCATAGGCTAAGTAGAATTCCCAGATCCATGAAGGAATGTAGGGGTCCCGTGGCCTAGTGAACTGCTCTAATTCATGATATCTGAGAGTATGTTAGGCACCTCAGCATGCTTACCTTCCAAGCCCTCTACAGATAGTAACTTTTCTTCTAGAATGGTTCGTAAACCATCGCCTTTTAATCTGTTCAGCAAGGTGGGTGGAGGTGGAGCTACGGGGAATGCAGGGGCCACTGGAGTTGGCACTGATTCAGTAGTCGGGAGGGTTGCAACTAATGTAACTCTGATCGGTGTTGATTGAGGTCTATCTCTGAGCCTATTCTGCCGGTGAATCAAGGGATGTTCATCTTTCGGCTTAGAAAAATCTGGTTCAACATTTGTGCCCTTCCTAGCTATGTGTTTTTTTCGTTTGCCTTTATCTCCCAGTGGGAGATCTTGCTTTCTTTTCTGTGAGGGACGTGATCATCCTTCATTGATCATAATTCCCTTTGCCTTTTTCTGAGGTGGCGCATTTAAGTTTGTGCGTACCATATCTGCAAAATTTTGTGATTAGTCAGAAGAACAATCACACTAAAACATAGAAAATTCTGAAGCAGAAAGGTCCGTCGATCAGTCGGTGAATCACCACATCTCTTTGGTGAGCTAGGTCGAAATCGCCAAAGGGATTAGCTTGAAATCTAGGCAAATTAGCGATGAAAAAGTCTATTTGGTGACGCGCCGACTACTTTCGGCGATGACGAAGTTGTCCACTAAAAGATATAGTGAAAGAGGGTAAATGGGGCATGCAAAGGGCGGTGTGAAGTCCTATTAGCGAGTCTCCGACAACCTTCAGCGACCACAGATGTGTCCGCTTAAAGTTACAGATCTCTCAGCATTATGGACATGAGTGAAGGGCGATCTAAGACCAGTAAGCGAACCGTCGAATCATTTGGCGAGCGCGACCCAGCTCGCCGAATGATTTAATGTGCCTATTTTTCAACCCACTTCTTAGAATCGACCTTACAAGCCCTAGAAACGAAATCAAAGCATGCATACATGAAATTCACACAAGACCCACTCTTCCTATCACCCCAGAATACTCAGACTTCTTCCGATCCTGCCAAATTTTGGCCATTTAACTACGATCACCCTTAAGAGAGTCGTCACCCATTCCTTCATTGAGAAATTTTCGTTATGTAGCACAAATGTGGGCTATCTACGTGTTACCCAACCAATATAACGACAATCAAGCAACACCAATTGCAATCTCAATTAAATTAAAGCTCAAACAACAAGGCATTCGACTATTAAAATATTTCAGGCAACTAAGTTCGAATTACACATAGCATATCAACATATTTCTATTAGAGAGGCCCAACACACGTCATCCTGATGCTACAATGGCAAATGAGTGCAAAAACTTTTAAGATAAATTTGGGGTTTTATGGACTAACCTTTAATGCCGATCAAATTGCTTATTGAAATGCTAGACAACAAAGAGATCCAATCCGAAGCACTAATTACCAACTAAAATACTAATGGAAAGGTAAAAATCTAAGAAAAAGTACCTTTGGTGTGATTTTGAGGAGTCTGAAACGAGGGAAAGTTTGAGATTCAAAATTTTGAGTTTTTGTCTTTATATAACCATTCAGTTCTCGATCATTCGGCGACGTTAGTCTTATCCACGATCAACTCGGCAACGTGCCGAACGCATACTTACCTCGCCGATTTTTACAGGACATCCCTTATTTTATGGTCCCAACGGCGGATTAAGTAGGAATGATCGA